GAAAAAAGCCAATTCTTTCTCCATCCACTGTGTGAAGTCTTTTTCCTTTAAAATAGTATTATTTAATGTCCATCTAGATCTTCTTTTTGTCCTTTCCATTTAATTGTCATTCGATTGTGATCTGCCCAAGTACTTGTTTCAATATTTATTTTTTCAGTATTAGTTATTAATTCTGTTGACATCCATATCATATCTATTCTGGACCATGATAAGTGTCTATTTGAATAGAAGGTGTATTGTTTAGTTCAGGGGTGTCCAACCTTGGCAACTTTAAGACTTGTGGACTTCAACTCCCAGAATTCCTCAGCCAGCTTTAGGTTTAGTTTTAGCATTTCTCTTGGTAAGCTATTTCTCATCGCATATCTTGTGAAAACTCATCTATTCCATCCATCATCTTGAGTTATTTCCAAAGCTTCAGCCAGTATTTCTATCATTATCTCAGCTAAGTTTTGTCCTTTTTTTTCCTCTACGTTTTGGAATCTAAGATAGAATTCTAATCTATCCATCCCCCATCTCAACATACCACTTTTATCTTGTTCAACCACCGTTAATCTATTATCAATATCTCCAATCTTCTTGTCTCTTTGTTTATCTTCTTCTTCAATTTTTTGGAATCTCTCATCATACTTCAACATCATTTGTTGGATGTTCTCCACTTTTTCATCGGCTTTCCTTGTTCTTTGTTCAATGTTCTCTATTCTCTTTTCAATATTCTCTGATCTTGCTTGAATATTTTGAATTCCTTGCATAATCATCTGCAGAGTCACTTTTTCTTTTTCTTGCTTTAACATTGTCTGTATTGAACGTTGTCCTCCAGATGGTGGAGAAGAAGAAGTAGAAGTTGAAGAACCAGGAGCTGTAAATTTCCTACTCATTTTAAGCAATTCAAAATCTTCAGGTTCTTCTAAACCTTAATCCAATTGTGAAATAACCAATTGTAATTCGAAATAAAAATAGTAGAAAAAAGAAGCCAAATAAGTAATGATTAAAAAAAGGGGGGGAGGACCAAATTTCTTCAGGTTCTTGCATACCTTAATCCAATCAGTAATTAAATGAAGAAAAAGGCTTGGAAAAAAAAAAGGAAAGGAAAAATTCTTCAGGTTCTTCAACACCTTAATCCAATTGAGAGGTCTCAAATAGAAAAGAGTGCATAAAAATAAACCAAAAAGGTAGATGAAAAAACAAAAATACCAGGAAAGGAGAAAAAAAGGCTATTCCCTTTTAAAAAAGGAAACATTAATACTAAAGCTTTCCCTTTAAAATCAAAAGCAAGCATAGAGATTGGACTTCCAAAGAAAAAAAAGAAAAACAAAGACAAGCTCCAACAAAGCCAAAGATCCAAATAGCTATTGCAAAAAAAAAAAAAGATAAAATGAAATACAATAAAGCTGGTGAGGAAGGATAGCACAACTTAGAAAAAGTAAAAAGAGCACACTGCACTTTGTTTAATTATCCAAGGCTCTTATTATAACTCTCTTCTCCAAAAACTTATCAGCTTTTCCCCCCCTAAGTTTCAACACCAGACTCCAGCTGTTGATAGAAACCCAGAAGAGCACCTGCAATAATACTCTCCCATGCTCTTCCCTCTATCTTATCAAATAGCAATGTCCTTGAAAAAAAGTCTCAGTTCTTTCTCTCTCAGCTTTGTCTGGTCACAGAAAAATAGAATATTTCCAAGCCTCTAGTTGGCAGTGTTACAAAGTTTCTTTGCTTTCACTTTCCCCCTCCTTTTCCAAGCAAAATATAATAAGAATTAATTTAAAAAAAGAAAAGAAAAAGATATTTAAAAAAAGAAATAACTAAAAGGGAGTCTCTAGCCTAAAATGTTACAAAATCAAAAAGGAGAAAAAAAATATATGGAAAAGAAAAAACCAGTCCAGTTTCAAAATGTAAGATCATGTATAGAAAATCCAGCAATGAGAAAAAAACATTACTTTGACATTCCTGTTTAAAATCGCCGCTTAATCACTTCTGTCAAAACTTTTACAGATTCTTTCTTTTCCTTAGGGTGCCCTTTCAGATCTTAGAATAAAGAAAAAGTTCTCACCAAACCGTCACACTCTCTCTTTCTGTTCTCTTTTGTTTCGGAGCTGTCCCAACTTCAGCAACTTTAATGGCTGCCTCTTTGCCACTGGCAAGAAGAGCTTCTCCTGGATCTACCAGGGACTTTGCAGTATCCCTGGGATCGACAGGATGCGTTCTTCACTTTCACCGTCTCTTTGTGACGGTTTAGATCCAATAGGACCATCCAGGAGCAAAGATATGGGCAGCGATCTCAGACCTCCAAGATCGCATGCCGTATTGTCACGACACTAGCTCCGCCCCCCCAATATCCATATAATTTTTAATCATCCTCTCCTCAGTACCTATTAAGATTATCTAATTTGGAAATTATCTAATTTATCTAATTCAGTAAATTCTTTGTATTCTTTGTAAAACCCTTCTGTCCTACTATTTTTATTATATCTAGAATGTATTTGCACATATGAGTACCAAATTCATCTTTATCTCTTGTCCATCTAATTCTTGCTTTGTTTTGAGTTTACCCTTTTCATTTAGTATTTCACTATAACTATGTGTTCCATTTTAAAAACAATTGGATACACAAATACCTCTATTGTTGATAACCAGACTGGTATTTTCATGTAATGTTGTTTCCTTATTCTCTCCCACATTGACAATAAAGCATCTCAAATATAATGCCTCCTGAAATACCAAGGTGCTTTACTTTCCTAATACCATAAAAATGCATGCCACCCCAATTGCAAATCATGATCTTCCAGTGTTAACAATCTAATATTTTTCAAAACAATCCATTCTTTCACCCACATCAGTGTTACTGCCTGGTCGTATAATTCCCAATTGAGTAATCCAAAACCTCCTCTCATTCTAGCATCCTGTAACAATTTTAATTTAATTCTTGCCTTCTTTCCCTGCCATATATATTTCAATTTTATTTTATTTAAAGTGCTCAAAGTATTCTTTCCCTAATTTAATTGGAATTGTCTGAAACAAATATAATATCCTTGATAGTAAGTTCATTTTGATTGTAGATATTCTCCCTATTAGAGATAGTTGTAAATTTCCCCATTTTTTCAAATCTGTCACAATCTGTTGTTTTGATTTATAATAAATATCTTCCTTTAACGTTCCACATCTTGCTGTTAATTGTATTCCTAAATATTTTACTTTGTGATGTGGATATTCAGCCTGTCTGTCAATTCTTTCCTTTGTTTTTCAATCATATTCTTAACTAAAATCTTAGTTTTATCTTTATTTTTAATCCTGCCACCTGTCCATAGTCTTCGATCTTTTCCATCAGTTTGGGCGCTGTTTCCAATGGTTCCTCCAATATGAAAACCAGATCATCTGCAAGTGCTTGTAATTTATGTTCCTCCTTTTTTATTTTCATTCCCTTTATTTCTCTATTATCACTGATAGTTCTATTTAATACCTCCAAAGTCAGTACAAATAGCAGTGGCAACAGAGAACATCCTTGTCAAGTTTCCTTCTTTAATGTTAATATTATCTGTCAAATCTCCATTTATCATTACTTTTGCAGATTGTTTGTAATATATTGCCTCAATTGCCTTAATGATTCTTTCTCCAAAGCCCATCACTTCCAAGTGCAATAACATAAATTGCCAATTTACATTGTCGAAAGCTTTTTGTGCATCTAAAAATACCAAGGCCATTTGCTTCTCTGGGTGTGTTTCATAGTATTCCAATGTATTCAAAATTATTCTCATGTTGTCTTTAATTTGTCTCTTAGGCAGAAATCCATTTTGATCAGACTGTATAAAGTAGTTCAAGTATCTTTTGAATGCTTCTGCCATTATTAAGGCAAATATTTTATAGTCTTCATATAGCAGGGATATAGGGAGGATCTACAACTTCAGCAGGCAAGCTCTTCTGTTAATTGTTCTCAATGTCAGGAAGTTTCTCCTGAATTCCAGTTTGCTTCTCTCCATTCGAATCTCATCTGATTGACTCAGCCTTCTGTCTTTCCGAGGTGGGTAAAACGAGGACCCAGATTGTTGGGGGCAAGAGGCTGACTCTGAAAAACGCTTAGAGAGGGTTGTAAATGCACTGTGAAGTGGTATATAAGACTTAAATGCTATTGCTGTCTTCCTTCCTTCTGATTAGAATGTAGTATTGCAGGCTAACTCTGCCCACTGCTAGACATTCGATCCTGATCAGCTCAAGGTTGACTATGCCTTCTGTCCTTCCAAGGTTGATAAAACGAGGACCCAGATTGTTGGGAGCAAGAGGCTGGCTCTGTAAACCACTCAGTGTTCTGACCCGCGCCCTTTTCCAACAAATCAAACACAATCCAGAAGGAACAGAAACCTTGTAATTCTTTTACAAAATAATTAGCTGTGATAAGCACAAGCCTTGCCAAACTGCAAGATTTGCCAGAAGATAACAGACAAGAAATAATTTGCAAATTAGAATCTTCAAATACAAACTCAGGATACTGGAATGTCCATGAGGCTGGACTTTCAAAACATCTTTGCCTCCTGCAAAGTACGTTTGTTTCACAGCTGGCTTTTATCTTCTTGAAGGAGGGGCAGCCTTACTCCTGAGTCACCCGTGCTGTTCTAACTGCTCTTTTCTATGAGCAATCCTACGCGCACTTGGACAGGCTCCTCGGGAACCTCCTCATCGCTGCTGCCAGCTCCCACAATCTCTGAAGGCAGCAGTTCACTCCCTAGTGGTCCTCACTCTCCTCAGCCGTCCACACCTGCTGCCGGCTAACCACAACACTCAGAGAGGGATGCAAAGCACCGTGAAGCGGGATATAAATCTAAGTGCTATTGCTCAGTGCTATGTGGTTTGGCTTCCAGGTGTGTCAACACACACACACACAAACACACACACACACACACAAAACATTGGTTCTCCATCATCCAGTTCTCCAGTTGCATCCTTCATCTAGTCTCACAAGTGTTACCCAGACCCAAAAATTGAAGAAGAGGCGACACATGGGCAGATCTGTGCAATTTAATTTTATTCTCCTATTTCAGAACAAGAGCTATGAGGATTTGAGGGTGGGAGTGCGGTGGATTCCCCTTAGGGTGGGCGAGTGGGGAGGCTGGGTAGTTGCTTCTAAGTGATTATGCGGTTATCGGGGAAGGCAGGGGGGTGCTTTCCTCCCAGAGCTGAGCATCAGAAGGTGAGACCCTTTAAAAAAGGAAATTTAATTCTGGACACGGCAGTGCAGTCCTTGCTGACAACGGCTTTCTTTTCGGTTCTCATGTTGATGAAGATACCAAAGGTGCAGTTGTACTTCTAAAGAAACCAAAGAAACAGAGTTGGGGAAGCATTGATAAGACTTTGATGCTGAAGTTTTGGATCAGAAAATTAGAGAGAAGATCTGGACTGGCTTCAGACAACATGACTGGATCCCTGGAAGGTTTAACTGCTAAATTTGCACAACGCACCAAGGGCTGTGTGGTTGTGGTATTGAGCCAATCTAGCCAGTTTGGCTAGAAAGCAGGAGATTGTGAGTTCTAGTCCTGCCTTAGGGATGAAAGTCAACTACGTGGCTTTGGGCCAATCACCAGGAGACTAGGAGTTCTAGTCCCGTCTTAGGCATGAAAGCTACCTAAGTGATTTTGGGCCATCACCAGGAGACTGGGAGGTTTAGTCCTGCCTTAGGCATGAAAGCTGGCTGGATAACTTTGAGCTAGTCACTATTTCTCAACCCAACCTACCCTGCAGGATTGTTGTTGTGGGGAAAATAGGAAGGTGTGTTGGTTATGTTCGCTGCCTTGAATTATTTGTCAAAATAATAATGGCAAGATACAAATTGATTGATCAATAATGTGCCACAAAACCCAGCTGGTTTGGTTAGGATTTCACTTATTTGGAGAATCCAGTTAGTTTTTGCTTAAGAAGGCTGATTATTATTGTTTATTAAATGTATATTCCACCCATCTCAGAGATAAGGAGATTCTGAGAGGGTTTTTTGTTTTTGTTTTTTTGCGAGTTGGGCAACTACATAAATTTACAAAAAAGGCAAAGACAAGTTGCCGAGCCTTAATTCAACCATCCCCCATTTAAAACCAACCATCGTTTTTGCTAGGCAGGGCGGATTGTTTGAGATTCGAAACTTGCAGCTGTTACCTCTTGTTTGAGTTTTGGTAGAAGCTGGCATCCCTCCTTCTCCATGTAGGCTCTGGAATATTCCAGGCCAGCCTCGTCTTGCTCTTTGGGTCTGGTGCAGTTGGTCTTGGCCAAAAGCATCTTGACGTAGACCATAACACCGATGGCTTCCTGGGATCAAAGAAGAAATCACATCTCAGAAATGTCACTTCGGATCGCTGCATCACTCACTCGCCCTTACAAATCCCAGTGAGATTTTGAACTGTGTTGGGATGAGTTCAGTCTGAATCCCTAAACTTTTAAGCAGAGGTGGTATTCAGCCGGTTCTGACTGGTTCTGGAGAACTGGTCATGGAAATTTTGAGTAGCTCGGAGAACCGGCAAATACCCCCATCAGTGGAGCAGAAGAACAGCTGGAGTCTGTTCCCAGTGTGCACATGCACAGAGCCGCCAGGAGAAGGGAACAGCTAAGGAATAAGGGTCGACCCAGGAGTAAAGGCACAGGTGGGCAGTGAATGGCTCCTCCCATAGGGAATAAAGAGGAGTGAAAGGGGAGAGGTGTTTGCAGGAGACAATTAGTTCGTTTAATTAGTGTGAAGATTTGTGCCTCCATGCCAGAGGTGGTATTCCACTGGTTAATTGTTCTCACTGTCAGGAAATGTCTTCTTAGTTCTAGTTTCAATCTGTTGCTTCTTGTCCTGCCTTCTGGTGTCCTCTTCTCTGTGAGAGTCCAGCTATTCTCCAAAGCACCTGAAGGCAGGACAAGAAGCAACGGATGGAAACGGAGGATGCATTACCTGTATTCAGAACCAGAGGTGGTATTCAGCCGGTTCTGACCAGTTCTGGAGAACCGATTGCGGAAATTTTGAGTAGTTCGGAGAACTGCCAAATCCCACCTCTTACTGACCCCACCCCCATCTCTCCTCTGCCTCCTGAGTCCCAGCTGATCGCACGGGTCGTCTTTGGTTGCCCTGTACAGGAGAACAGAGCTGGAAAGCAGGTGAGTGGGTGGGGGACGGAATTGGAGTATCCTTCTCCTGCCATGCCCACCAAGACACAACCCTAGAACCGGTAGTAAAAAAAAAATAATCCCACCACTGCTTTTAAGGGTTCGGTTGCAATTAAAAATGTAAGAGAGGGCTGCTTTGGACCATGTGCAGAGTGCCATTCAATCTCAGCCACCAGGAAAGTAGGGTTTCCACAATATTTGCATGCACACAGAAAAGACACAAATTTTGATGGAGAGTAGAAAAAGAAAAGAATAAATAGGCTTTCTATAAAAATGATGGGGGAGGGGGAAGGCTGCAGAGGCACCAGGCTACAAACCAGGAGGCTGTGAGTTCTAGTCCTGCCTTAGGCATGAAAGTTGGCTGGGGCTTTTCCTGGCTGAGGGGATTTCTGCTCACCTGGAGCTCCAGCTGGCCATCCTCCAGATGTTTGTAGTAGGCTCCCATACTTCCTCGGTTGAAGTAGGCGACGGCTTGCTCCTTCTTGTATTGAGGCACAGCGTCGCTTTGAGCTGCTTTTTCCATTATCCTCTGTTGCTCTTCCTTCGCCATGAGCTCTAAAATTTCACTCGACTCTGAACTGGCTTCTTCCAAATCGTCAAAAAAAGGGTGCCTCCTTTTAGAATGCTTTTTTCCAACCCGGGGACCCTTGTTTTTGTCAGCCTCTTCCTCCTCTACAAAGGAATGCTTCATTTTGCAACATCCTTTATCTTTGTGATGATGCCTCTTCTTACAACAACACTCCTCTTCCTTGTGGTGGCACCTCTTCTTGCTACCTTCCTCCACGCAGTGATGCCTCTTTTCACAGAGACACTCCTCTTCGGAAGAGCTCTCCTCTTCCTCGCAACATCTCCCTTCCACCGCAACCACAGCTAGCAGCAAAGCGCAGCTGAGAAGCAGCTGTAAACCCAGCCAGGACCTTCCCATGGTGGCCAGGAGATGCTGAAAGAAGCAAACAATCCCGGCTGGAGGACGGAGGCTGATATACTTCTCAGGGAGCCCTGCCCCTTGGTGGGTCTGCCCACCAGCTGGAAGAACCCTATAAGTCAGGTCCACCCCATTGGCCAGATCTGGGAGGAAGGAAGGGCTGAAGTCAATCCCATTGCTTCGTTGTCCCCCTCACAATTCCAAGGGGACCTCACTGGGGGAAGACAAGGCATGGTTAGACAATGGCTTTCTCAACAGCTCTACTGCAAATTTGAGTAGCGGCAATGCAGAAGGACAGAATAACAGCATTAGAAGGGGACCCTGAAGGTTTTCTATTCTAACCCCTCGCACAAACAAGAGGCCCTGTACCATTCCAGACAAGTGGCTGTCCTGTCTCTTCTTTTATACATACATACATACATACATACATACATACATACATTTTATTCATAAACATTTTTGAATACAGCCTATTGTCAGTGTATACCATTTACAAGAGAGAGAAAAGAGAAAACCATAGGGAATACCACATTAAATATTAACACATGCACATATTTGACTATTCATGTATGAACAGCAGCTAGAATTGTATTTACACAAAATTGGAAAAATGAGAAAATTCCAACAGAGGAGGAAACAATTAAGAAAATAATGGAATATGCAGAAATGAGTCGATTGACAATGGCAATCAAAGAACAGGAAGAAAAAGAGTATTATAAGATTTGGAATTTAATGAATGGTTAGACAGAAGAATAAGAAACGTGGTAATAGCAGTAACATTTTATAACTGATGTTGAAAGAATAAGAGAGTGAATATAACTTAGTAAGGATGGATTATATTTTTGAAAGATAACTATAATGTTAATGATAATATAATAATCACACAATATGAGCTAAAATGTTGATTAGAATGGTTATAAATATAATTAAATAAGAAATATATGATATCATTATGTGCACAAGATAGATGTACCCAACCAACACACTGTAGAATCGGAAGATGGATTTATTTGTTATTTTGGTTTTAAAAATATTTCTTTATTTAAAAAAAAATATTAACACATGCAGTGATAGCGATACTAACATATACTAATAATAATACATGATACCAGTAGCAATATCACCAAATACTTTTAACTAAATTTCTTTTTATATTAGTTTATTTACATTTTTAGTAATTAGAATAATTATAAATCATTTCTACTTCTGGTCTCTTCTTAAAACTCCAGTGTTGGAGCAAGTTTGGTGGCAAGTTGTTCCACTGGTTAATTGCTCAGTCGCCTTTCTTCGTATGTTTTAGTTTCCAGCCCCCTAATCATCCTGGTTGCTCTTCTCTGTACTCTTTCCAGAGTTTCAACATCTTTTTTACATTGTGATGACCAAAACTGGATGCCAATATTCCAAGCGTGGCCTTACCAAGGCATTATAAAGTGGTATTAGTCCTTCACACAATCTTAATTCTATCCCTCTGTTAATGCAGCATTGGACTGCTCTTTTGACAGCTGCAGCACATGGCTAGCTCACAGTGAATGGCTTATGAGTAAAAAATAAAGCTTTAATTTCCTTTATTTGCTGGTAGGATTATTGTCACCGCCCCAACTCTTGGCAAAACACCTTATTGTGATAAGACCAGGCTGAGAGAGAGTGTGATGGACCCCAAGTCGGATGTGGGGTTGAGCTATCCATATCCAGAATTTCATCCTACCTGCTCCCTTTTGGGACTCCAGAATCAACAGCTGAGCAATTTCTTCTGTTCTCCTTCTTCAGTCAAGAAAACTGAGTCTTCTAATAGTTAGTTCGGAGAACTTTTCCAAGCTTCTGTTGAAACATCCCAATTTCCCATTTTCTAGGCCATAAAATGAATTATAACCTCATTAAATGAACAGAAAATACTTTTCTGGTCTTCTCTGGAATACTTTGACTCTTAGGGAGCAGGTGGGCCTCCAAATCTTTATGTCAAAGAAGGAGAGACCTTTCATTTCTATGACCTCCAAGAAACTCAAATCTAAGGCCAAACTTAGTTGGGGAGGGAAGAGTGAAAAATATGAATAGAGGTAGTCGTTATATTACGACCACAACTGAGCCCAAAATGTATGTTGCTAAGTCCAACAATCACTCTCAAGAGGAGTGAGTCACCAATCCAGAATATTGCAACTCCTAGACAGTAAAAAGTTGAGTCTTGTTGAATATACTAAACTGGAGGTTTGCAAAAACTAGACTGGGAAACCGTTTGACTGGCAGGTATAAGATGTGTTGCTAGTCCTAGAATCCCATTTTTTATGTTGCAATGTGATTTTAAAGGGGGGTTATTGTTATTATTCTTGAATGCCAGGGGTTATATGTTGTGTTTTTGGTATTTTTAATTCTGGCATGCTGCTCAGTCATTTGTATGAGTTGGGCAAAGGGGATATAGAGAGAGGACATAGATACAAACTCAAGGTTAACCGCACCAAACTTGATTGCAGGAAATACGACTTCAGCAATAACAGAGGGGTCAATGTCTGGAATCCTCTACCTGACTCTGTGGTTTCTTCCCCAAACCCCAAAAACTTTAACCTTAGACTGTCTATGATTGACCTCACCCCTTTCCTAAGAGGTCTGTAGGGGGTGTGCATAAGCGCACCAACATGCCTACCATCCCTGTCCTATTGTTTCTTTTATTTTTCTTATACGTACCCATGCATTTATAACTATGTTTTTACTTATACCTATTACCTTGTAAGCAATTGACAAAAAATAAATAAAAAAATAAAAGACTCTTGGACACTGAAGGAGCCACAATCTCATTGCTGAAATCCTCCAAAAATTCTCTCTTCCCTCCCTGATCTCGACGGTGGATGTTTCCTTGGCCACAATTCTCTGCATCTTCTGTTGCTCGCCTCTCTCTTGATAGAATCTTATTGTTTCTGGCACGGGCCATGCTTGGCCAGCTCTGGCCAGGATGCTTTGAAGTCACTGACGGACCAGAAATAATAAGTACCTTTAGAACATTTGTGTTTTTAAAAAGGAGCCAAAGATAGCGATAAAGACAGTCAAACCCAAACAATGAACAAGGGGCTTCATTTTTTTGAAAGCACCAATTCACCTTGGGTTTCACTTGGCAAAACTTTGGCCAGAGCAATTTTAAGCATATTAGAGATAACCGATGCACAAATATTCCAACTGGCCAAGAAAAATCTCCTGTGACCTGGAAAAACATTGGATTATTCTCCAAAAGGTTGATTGTCCTCCATCTTTGGGGTGTAAAAACACACCTGTAAAAATCCCACCTTAAGATGTCTATTCCAACACACACATTCTTCCCCAAATCTAATCTTTTAATCCCTTTCCACCCATTTAATTTTCCAGAGGGGGTCAGGAAGAAAAAAAAGATCTAAACTTAGTTTCTTGTTGTTCTTTTTCAGCAAGAAAAGCAAAACTCCTGAGAAGTTTCTTTGTGAGGACAATGTACCTCTCTCAGAAATTTTAGGTGGGCGTGGAGGGTCGTGGTAGTGTTTGACATACAAACCAAAAGGACCAGATATTGTACGTCACCATTTCTTTTTTAAAAGGACGGGGTTTTTTGGTCTACACCCAGAATACCAAATTTATTTATTAAACTTATAATTTAAATTTAAAGAGGGTGTGTGTGAAACATCCTAGAAGGATTGCTTTGATGGCATCTGCAATCCTTAAATTGGTCTGATGGGACCAGTCAAGCAAAGTTGACTTATTTCCCTTGTGTGTTGAATGAATATATTTGAATTTTGGCTTAACCCCCAGGGGAAAAATATGAGAATTGGGTTTCAAAGGCTGGTTCTGGGATGTCCTATCCAAAGACACCAATTGTGGGGTCAGATCAATGCCTATGGAAGGGAGGGCACGTGACTGGACCAACGAAAGAGAATGTCACAGCCAACCAAAGCCTTCTTTTAGGGGAGTGGCATTCGATTGTCCAGCCTGAGATGCCTTCACTAAATGACCGTTTCTCTTTTGGGGTGTGTCTCAAGGGAGGACAGGCTGTCTGGACTTGGGGGTGGAGCCCCTGAACCTATATCAGTCGGTGCCCCCCATCCCCAGCCCGCCCATTGCTACCCAAGGAGTTGTGGCATTGATTTTGGCACCATGGGAGGCTACTGGCAGCTGGTCTTTGCCTGCTGCCTACTTGTCCAAAGTCTTTCAGCAGAATACTCAGTGAAAGACAACTCAACCTCTGCCGTGAAAGACAACTCAACTTCTGTGGTGAAAGACAACTCAACCTCTGTGGTGAACTCAGACAGAGAGCTGAAGAAGAACATTGGGCAACGAATTGCTTCCCTGCAGGAAATGCGGCAGGATGAAATTCGCAACTTCGCTGACTTAGCCTTGCAATATTTTAACATGCAGAAACCCTCCTTGTTCACAACCTTGGAGGAAGCAACCGTGACGGTCAAGGTAAGAAGCATCTTGAAGCCACTGAGAGGGTCTCCATCTGATGATTGTTTCAGTGAGGATTGTAGCCATTTAGCACCCTCTGGCCCCACAGGAAGTCTAGACGGTAGTTCCCATAATTCCCGGTCTTGTCAGTTGCAGAATTAGAGACTTTGCAGTCCAACTCAACCAGCTGAGGAACGCTGTCATGTCCATTCACCTAGGAGAGGGATACACACACACACACACACACACACACACACACACACACACACACACCATTATTTATTTTATGGAGTTTTTGAGTTCTCACCTCTCCTTCAGAAGCTCAAGGCTGTGTGGATTGCACTCCTATCTCCTGTTCTCCTCCTCAACAACAATCCTGAGAGGTAGGCTGGGCTGGGAGGATCTATGACCGAAAGAGTAAGTTTTCTGTGGCTGAAGGCGGAGTAGAATCTGTATCTCTTCATCACTAGTCCAACACCTTCACTGAGGCTCTTGTTTTTGATATCTCACCATTCGTGTAGGACCTCAAGGCAGCATAGAGAGTGGAAGAAAGGGGACTAAAACTTGGGTCTTCTCAATTGCACAGAAGAGGAGCATAGGTGATAAAGAGTCTGGAGGCTAAACAGTATGATGAATGGTT